TTTCAACATTCGTACTAACTATTAACTGTTACCAAAGCCATCTATTGTTAGAGACTAGAACTAATTCAACCTCCTAATATTTTTTACTTCACTATCACAGTAGGTAATGATCTTAAAACAGAATACACATAAAGATTTTGTTTATAATACATCTCCGTTATTGTGTCAAACTGCGTTAATTGGTATAACTATTGGACATTTGAGCGAAGTTGAAAGAAATTTATCGAACGATTGTACGAGAGCAGAAAACGTCCGCCCTTGGGATGAAGAAACCTTGAAAGGATTAGCGCCTCGGCAACGACTGCTCTTATCAGTCCGACTCTCTGCCTTTTCTTGTCGTCAAGCAATTTCGACACGGTCGTTCTCTCGCTCTAGACATAATAGCTATGCACTAGTGGGCTTGCCGGTCGCAGATGCACTGTCTCGTTGCATTTGTTCGTTGCATGTCACGTGCGTTCAATTCAGTGTAACCTTCTTCTGATCGCGCGTGCGGCTGTAGAGGCGTGTGTGTGTATGTGTGTGTGTATGTATGTGTGCGCGCGCATATACACGTAAGCATAAACATATACGCGTACTCGCCGCTCTTACCTGCTCGTTACAGGTACCAACCGACTGATAAGAGGCGACTCAGTAAGAAATATGTCGGTGCGACATCCGGCACGCGAATTCGGCCGCTTCTTTGTTATATCGAACACGTATTCGTTCGATTTAGAAATTCGTTTGATTTAAAAAAAAAATTAGATAATTTTAGGAACGTTGCAATCGCGAATCCGAATTCCGTGAGAAACGAACATGCGAAGATAATTTTCAAGCAGAGACACGATGCTCGGTGCGAATTACTTTCTCGATAACTCTCAAGTAATTTCTCAAAGTTAAACTCTCACACTGACTATATATGTGTATGTCTTGTTGAAGGGTAAAACTGAAATGACTCCAACGAGTTTCGATCGCGAAACTGTGAGCACGCGGAAATAATTTACACGGAGAAAAGATTGGTTGAATTAATATGGCAATGAACAAATGTGTTTTATTAGTTGAGGGAAACAAAGTTTCACGAAGAAAGAAACAAATTTGGTGAAAAAGCAGGAGAATAAGGGAAAAAGATCGGCCAAATGCATCGTGGTTCGTTTATTATCATGTTAATTCAATCGATCTTTTTTTCCATCAATCATGACAACGATTTTTGTTATAACAATTTATATTTTGTTATAACAATAAGGGAAAACACGATCGGTGCGAATATTTCGGTGTACTTTTTCGTAGCTACAAAATGGACTCCTTAAAATTATAGACGACGTTGGTTTTTATTTCGAACCGGTTTGGTTCTCGTTTTTGGTGTTATGACGCGTGTTCGATGAAAGCCTGTCCGATGTAGCTTTGGATGTTCGTAGTAGGGGAGATCAGAGTTAGAGATGCATATTTTCGAATTTCGAAGTTACAACTTTCTCAGAAAATTAATTGTTATTATTAACTGTATAAACATGATAGATACAACTGTATTCTGTATGTTTATGTTCGCAACAATTCTATGGATAGTATATTTTGATCTGTAATAACTGAGATATAAACATGCAGCAACGTGGCCATCTTGTCGTGATCAGTTAGCCAGCGTACGCAAAAAAAAAGTAATTTCAGAACAAGCAGAATCATCTAAATTTCGGAGGATTTTATTCTCACATGATCTCAAGAGAATTTCTATAAAATTAAGAGAAAAATATTATAAATACATTGTTCTTAAAGTTAGAGGAATTATATGTTGTATATATAATGCAAATCTTATTGATTTTAATATAAATTTCCTCTTACATACAGATTATTTAATTTTTTTTTAAGAGGATTATTATTTATTCTGATTGTACTTTATTCTTACTGGTTATACGTTCTTTTATAGGGAAAAGAGAGAAAATTATTATGAAACTGTCCGGAAAAAGTTCTAGCTAACTTTGTTACTTTCTGCTAAAAAAGTAGGAAAAAACATAAATTTGTAATTTTAAATACTCTAAATGGCATTTAATGTAGTGTGCAATACGATATGATAAATGAATATACAGGATGAGGAAAAAGTATGGAAACTTTTAAAAATCTCGAAAGATATGTTTTACAGAAAAGTGTTTCAGACAAAAGTTATAAGGCTCAAAACGATGTATTTATTAATCTTATCAGTTTGACTTTGTGGCGAGTGGCGTTGCCAAAGTAAGGTCAAGGTCAACTTATTTTTTTTAAACAGAAACCTCTATTTTTTATTATATCATCTTTTTCTATCAATTAATTGGAATAACTTTTGTCTGAAAAATTTTTTTATTTATCTGATATGTTTTGAGATATTTAAGGAAAACTTGATGACTTTTTCAATATTTAACTTACGATATCTCGCTAACTATTTGTCGGAGGAAAAAATGGTACTAGACTTTTTTACTCTATTTGGTCTCAAGAATATATTGTTACAATAGTTCCCTAACTTTTGTTAACTTATTGACTTTTGGAAATTTCAAAATCATCAAATTAACAAAAATCAAAGCGTTACTGGAATAATATATTCTTGAGACTAAATAGAGCAAAAAAGTCTAGTATCACTTTTTCTTCTGACGAATAGTTAGCGAGAAGATATCACAAGTTAAATATTTAAAAAGTTAAATATTTAAAAAGTTGTAAACACATTTTACTTACAACAGACTTTGGTAAGAACGTTTCACTAAAGAAATTATTAGAAATGATTTCCTTCCGTATCAATGCATGACTCGTTTCGATGTTTCATGGATTGTCGAAGACGTTCAAAAATTCCCGAAGTATTTCTTTTTTTATCACATGAAGCGATAATACGATTTCGGAGTATTTCCACAGTAGTAACAGGAGTTTCATAAGCAAGAACTTTAAGATGTTCCTATAAATAAAAATCCAAAGAGTTCAAATCGGGAAGTCATGTAGACTAAGAGGAGGACCATTGTTGGGTCCTCCTCTGCTAATCTATTTATTGATGTAATTATTACTCAGAAACAAACAATGTGACTGGAATATGTTAGAAATATGCTTAATAAAAAAATATTTATAACTTGGAAGACAAGTGTTTCTGGATCTGTTTATATGACTTTCTTTCATTCTCACAGGGAGAGTATGTTCTTAAAGTTTGACCACCTGTTTCTGAAACACTTTATACACGGCTCTATGTCAGCTCGAATTGAAACTGTAACACGTTGCTACTAGAATAGGCGTTGCTAGACGCCAAGCTATAAACTCTGGACCAGTTTTACTTTATTCGTTCAAATGTTCGATTTCAGTCATTTTATAAATGAGAATTGTTTCTATCACTTGAAACGGTATATCATAGATCATTTACAGGAAACTTTAATCTGATAACATATCAGATGACTTTATTCACATGCGATGGAAAATAATAATATTTAATAATATTAATAATACTAAAATATAATAATCAATAATAAAAATATTAATAATATTAGTAATGTGGAGACGCTCGAAAATTTTCTTTGTATTTCTAAATTAGTTGCTTGCTCTTATTTTTTAAACTGTAATATTATTCTAATTTTAACGAAACTCGGGGAAAAATATTTACGTTCTAAAAGAATCATCTCACGATTTTGTTTTCGTTATTCCTCTCGCAATAATTACGTAAATAAAGCATATAAGCATACCTCCGAAATCATTTAGTCCTGTCGTACGATTCTGTAACTCGTTATTGAAGTTAACGACACTTTCGTTATCCTTGCGCAGCTTTTGTATACTGTAGAAAAGCTGCATAATGATAACGAAACTGTTGTAAACTCCAATAACGAGTTAAAAAATCGCATCACTGGTCTCTTCTACACTGCGATGTGTATTGTCTGCCATTTCTAATATCGATACCATTTCATCGACAGGCGATTGCTTAAACGATTGAAGCATCGGGAATTATAATTTGGGTCTTCAAATTACTTGATATGTGACCATCGCGAAGATCGAATCAGTGGTATCTCATTAAATATCCGCAACGTCGATATCTAAACTTATCTGAATTTGTTTTGCCACTGAAGTGGACATTAGAGAAAATCAACGAGATGGAAAATAGCACCGGCTATTGAGAAATTTCATTAAAATTCGATTAATCGGATCGCTCAATCTCTTCAGATTCGATAGCTTGTTTTTATAGTTATTTGTTAATACAATGCTACGTCGAAACTTCATTCTTATTCTCCCAGCGTCTCTGCTTGACAATTTGAGACTACGATGGTGTTAATCCACGCGAGCGTTCTTATCAGAAGAATACCGTCTTAAAAAAAGCCCGTCGATACGCATTCATATCTCATGCACACACCGTCCGTATCATTTCTACTGCTTTTTTCAACGATAACTATAGTGTGTTAATTAATGTGTTATTTGTTCTCAACTTATTGCAGTAACATAGCAAAACCGACTGCCAACACGAGCGAGCGAGCGGCGTTTTGTTCGAGACTGCTTTGTGAACTTCAGTCGCGTTGTTGTTCAATTATTATCATCGTTGTTCACTCGTGCACGATAAAGAATTTGCGTTGTTATTGCGTTGGCGCGAAGTGAAAAGTAAATCTTGCGAGTCGCACTAATCAATCAGTGAATGTGCACCACAGGTACAACACGAGCTGCGTTCAATATTTGGACAATGGGCCAGCAGATTGGCTGAATTGATTGAAGTGCATCAAACGGTTGCGAGTTTCGAAGGACGAAAGTGATAACGCGAGAGTGCATCGAACGAAGATGTAAGCCGACGCGAAACTTCATCGTTCCGGAGCTGATTCATTTTCGGACGTCTATGTTTGTGTTTGATGAACGTGGAATTGCGTTATGAAAATTGTCTTCAAGGTGCGCACGTGACAGTCGAACTTGAGTTATTCAGCGATAACTGCGGAAAATGCTTGAGCGCGATCAGAAGGCGACTTTCGAGATTCGCGGTGGTCGCGCAGTGTCCAGGAATTAAAAATCGCATCCGTGCGATTGCGTGTGAAGGAGGAAGATTCCCCGAGGATTCGTCCGGTGGGGACTTGAGTGAATAGCGTTTTGAAAAATAGGCGGCGTGGTCCTGTTTGAAATGGATTCGGTGGCGGTAACAGTGCCGCTTCGTCAACCGACGAAGAAGATGAAGAAGCGAAAAGAGCTCGACGCTCTGGCACCGGCGCACGCCATTTCCCGCCGGAGTTCTGGCAAACGTAGCTCACAGGTGATTAATGAGTCACGAGGTATCGGATTTTATACATGTATACACGATGATTCAGAACAACTTGCTGTCCTTGAAGTAACATGCTCTTGAACGAGTTCTAAAACGATTTTTCCTCTTGAAAATGTTATCCAAAGCTTTGTTTTTGAATTATAAGGATAGGGTAAGTTCGGGATAGATGGACACAGTTTTTTTAATTGGAAATAACTCATCTGTATTAATGCAATAAATGGTCAACAATATATTAACACATTCAGTAGAGGATAATGTTTAAGGTACAGAAGAGTTTTTGTGGAAAAAAATTTATGGGATGCCAATAATAACGAAATATTAAAAATATTCTATGACGGATAGATGGTCAGGTGTCCAGGTTAAATGGTCATATGTCAAGGGATAGTCATCTCGATAATGAACTTTTAGGTTAAATACGATATTTTTTAGTTGTTCAAGTCCAGGTTTAATGTTGTAACTCAAAATAAACTATATTCGCAAGGTATTATTCCGACGTGTGAAACATTTCGGAGGTTAATAGAAACATAAAACATTTATTTACTCATAATAACAGTGTTTTTATGTATCAGGAAGAAACACATCTATTCGTGGTACATCCAACTCCGATTGACTGATCGGTGTTGACAAGTATGACATTTAACGTTAGGTAGCAGGGACAAATGACAGTCGAATAGATATACAGGGTGTCCCATTTTAGCTTTCGCATTAAAAAATCTCGAAAACTATGAAAGATATTAAAAAAAGCGAAAACACGTTTTCCATGATTTCGAAAGGGAAAAAGAATGGCATTATCAGTTTTTTATTTGGAGGGCATTTTCAAAGTCGGTTAAAGGTCAACTTAATTTTTTTAAATACGTAGAAAGCTCAATCTTTTATTATATCTTCTTTTTCTACCAATTAATTTTAACAATTTTTGTCTGAAACATTTTTTTATTTGCCTAATATTTTTTGAAATATTTTAGGAAAACTTGGTAACTTTTCCAACATTTACCTTACGATATCTCGCTAACTATTTGTCGAAAGAAAAAATAGTATTCTTTACTATCAAGAATATATTACTATAATAATGCCCTAACTTTTGTTAACTTATCGACCTTTGGAAATTTCAAAATTATTAAATTAACAAAAGTTAGGGCACTATTATAGTAATATATTTTTGTAAATATATTCTAGTAAATAAAGTAAAAAAAGTCTAATATTATTTTTTCTTTCGACGAATAGTTAGCGAGGTACCGTAAGGTAAATGTTGGAAAAGTTACCAAGTTTTTCTAAAATATTTCAAAAAATATTAGGCAAATAAAAAAATGTTTCAGACAAAAATTGTTAAAATATAACTTCATAATTTAAATGGAACCCCCTATAAAAATATTTGGATTCTACGGGAAAAACAAGTAAATTTTATTTGAAACGTTTGGAAAATGCTTCTATCAAAAGTTATAAGCATTTAAACCTTTAGCGATTTCATTCATGATTGAACTCCTTTAACACAAAGTTGCGTTCGCGATCCAACAAAAACAAAAAGGACCTTAGAGTACATACTTCATGTTAATCAAAAGAAACATAAATAAACACATTTATCGGGAAACAAATACAGATCACAGAGATAAATGTGTTTATTTATGTTTCTTTTGGTTAACATGAAATACTCTATGCTATATACATGAAGTACTCTAAAGTCTTTTTTGTTTTTATTGTATCGCGAACGCAACTTTGTGTCAATAGAGTTCAATCATTAATGAAAAAGATTTAAATGCTTATAACTTTTGATAGAAACATTTTCCAAACAAATGCTTCAGATAAAATTTACTTGTTTTTTTCCTGTAGAATCAAAATTTGCAACATTTTAGAAGGGGTTTCATTTAAAATTATGAAGTTACTCCCGTCCCCCCTTAAAGAGGAAACGGGGGCGCCTTTACGTTTATGTAGTTAGAGAGGCCTCTCGAATATATGATATGAAACTTCCTTACGAATAATTTTTTGATTTGATAAATATTTTTAAAGTTATGGACTTGTAACACTTTACGTGGGCCACCCTGTATATCTAGAAAATGTCGATCCGATGTCCATTGTTTGCTATTTCTCGCTAAGTAGGCTGCCCATCTAACTCTGAAAAAAATGGACTATCTATCCCCGTTTGGAGAGTTCGTGTAAAAATGCTTATACCGCGTGAAACGTAGTCTCGGTGACGAACTTTGAGATTAAATATGAAAATATGTTTTTTAGTCATTTAAGCTCAGGTCTAATGTTGTAACTCAGAATAAATGGCACTCGTAAGGTATTTTTCCGACGTGTGAAACATTTTGGAAGTTACTAGAAACATAAAACATTTATTTACTCACAATAGCAGTGTTTCTGGGCATCAGGATGAAACACACTTACTCGTGATATATCCAACTCACAACTGACCGATCACTGCTGACGCCTAGCATATATTGACAAAATTATAACAATTGACCATCTATCCCCTATGCCCATCTATCCCGGACTTACTCTAAGTAGATTATTTATTATTCGGGTTCGGGTACAGGAGGTATTAGGAGGTTGAATTAATTCTGGTATTATTTTGTCAATTTTGTATCTTTATTTTAAGGAAATGGTTAAATTTACATTAATCAAAATATTTTCCGTCGTTAACTATGACTTTTCCCCATCTTTCTAGCAACATAACGATTCCGCGACGGTAGAACGATCTGTTTTTTGAAGCAATCCAATCAGACAGCCATTTCTGCACATCCTCGTAATTGTTGAAGTGTGTATCTGTCAAAGCGTATTGCATCGATCGGAATAGATGGTAATCAGATGGTGCTAGGTCTGGAGAGTACGCTGGGTGCGGAAGGATTTCCCATTCAAGCTCTAACAATGTTTGTTTAACGATTGAAGCAACCTGTGGACGAGCATTATCATGCAAAGGAATCACTTTACATCTATTGATGGCTATCGCTGGCCTTTCTTGCATCAATTCAATCATTCAATTTGTTCAATTGTTGCTGATATCACTTCCTCGTAACTGTTTCATTCGGTTTTAGAAGCTCATAGTACACTACACCTTCCATATCCCGTCAAATACAGAGCATTGTTTTATGACCATGAATGTTCCGTTTTGGTGTCGATGTTGATGATTGTCCTGGATCAATCCATGATGTTTTTCGCTTTATCGAATTATCAAAATAAATCCATTTTTCAATTCCAGTTACAATTCGCCATAAAACTTTTTTCTGTCTGGCAAGTAAAGATATGGTGATATTCAAACGATTTGCAATGGCACTTCCACTTAATGTATGTGGAATCCATTTGCCTTCTTTTTGAATTTTTCCCATGGCATGTAGACGTTTAAAAATCGTTGATTTATCGATGTTGAGTTGTTCAGCCAATTGTTTGTCCATTTGAGCATATTTTCGTTCAATAATGCTTGTAATTCAGAATCTTCGAATTTTTTTGGTTAACCAGTATTTTTGAATCGTTGAAAACAAAATTTACAGTTAGAATAGCTTGATCACCATAAGTTGTAACAAGCATTTCATAAGTTTTTCCGATTTTTTCAAATCAAACAAAAAAAATAATGAATGTCAAGAATGCAATATTATACGATTCATTTTAGACGCGTATAAACAATGAAACTACCAGTAACAATAGCGCGCAAACTTTTATATGTCATAAAGAAATGTCAAATCTTTCAGTGTTGTTAGATTTCAACATTCGTACTAACCATTAATTTGTTATTAAAACCATCTATTGCTAGAGACCAGAACTATTCACAGCAATTAATAGCTTCTAATAGATAGGGTTGGCACAACTCACTATCAGACGCAGGGACTTACGTTAAACGCCCAATGCGACAAACTTATCGATCACGTAATAATATTGCACGCATCATTTATATAACTTCCGTTAAATTGCGAACGGAACAGAATGTCAACCTACGTTCTCTTCAACTTCACCCGCCACGAGGAGGAAGGGAAATAAGACTCTTTAATATTACTTTAATATTATGGCAATGAATGCGCGTTAACAAGTGATAAAAGCTCTCATTCTCAAGATAAATCTTGAGAAATGCAAATTCATCGGTTTTCTTAAAAGTAAGAATATCTCATGCTTCTCAAACCGTGACTAACATTCTTCCTTTTTTTACTTTCTATTTTTCTCGTTTGTATTTTCAAAGCTTATTTTTCAGTTTCGGAATGCTTGTGTAATCAAATATTTTATGCCCAAACATTTCATTTTAATTTAATTATAATTTAATTTTATAAAAATTTTATACAATTATTTTATTATAATTAATTTAATAATTATATAATTAATTTAATATAATTAATTTAAAACACTTTAATATAATTAATTTAAAACACTTCGCTGTTACGATCATATTGATCCTTGCTGCTTAGCGATCACACTAATTTGTTCATGGCAGGCAACATTGCCGTCAAGTGTTGCACTTTGCTGTGTAATCCATACGCGTTTGTGTAGGAGAGAAATATGTATCGCAGACCTTCGTCGCGGCACTTGATACGATCGTCAACAGAAGTTATAAAAATAGTGTGTGCAATGTCATTACGTGCATCAATAAGCTTATTGCATCATGTTCTCAACATAAGCGCCTGCGTCTGAGTTGTGCCGTTCCTGCCTATCTCTTGTACTCAACTCATAATAAACAAATTACTTATCTTTATAATTCAGAAACTAAGCTTCGGATAACATCTTATAAGAGGAAAAATCATCTCAGAATTTGTTCAAGAACATGTCATCTCAATTGTTTTGAATCATCCTATGTATACAGGGGTAACATAAAGAGGACATCTAAATGTCTTAACCCTTTCACTGTTAGTGGGAAGTATACTTCCCATCTTTTCTTGATTCAATTTTACGTTGTAAATCACATAATTTTGAAGAACTAATCAGGGATTTGAGTTTTCCAGATAACTGAATAGTTGTTCAACATACTCCAATAGGTTTTTACACCCAATTATTCATTTGTGATTATTTATAACAAATCAAAGTTGAAAAAAATGCTTTTTTTAGGGAAAAATCGATTCCTCGGAGAGTATTGAATGTAGAGGTCTGAAATTTTCATCAAATATTTTTCTGATGTTGTACAAAAACATATATTTTTCTCAATATTTTTTTACAGGTTAGATTTTTTTTTATAAACAAATCTACAAAAACGGCCGAAATTTGATTTTTTGCGCTTTTTAGCTCTATTTTCCTAGTTTTAAATTCTGTATCTCCATCTCTTATTCATACTATCAATATTATTTTACTCAAAAATTAATGTTTAATCTCTAGTAAGTATAAATATGCAGTATTGAACATTTTCCTATATAAATTTTTTCCAGCTCGATCGAGTTCCATCGTCCAGAATTATATGTTCTTATTACGACCTGGTCATTATTTAATAACAATTGTAATTTTCATTAATTTTCATCATGATCGTCATATTGAGTCTGCCATTTTGAATTTTGCAAATCTGACTTTAGATTCATAATCAGCGATCCAAAAAACGTACGACTACCAAATATTTTAATAATTTTCTCAAGGGAAGTTAATTCAGCAGTGAAAGGATTAAAGATACGAGAAATATTTAGAACACAATTTTAATAGTTTCGAAGGAAGAATATCGTAGAAGGAAAATTTTTCTATGATAATTTTTTACTTCGAATTTTTTGAAGGTTTTTGCAGGAGGTATTTCTTTGCAGGAAAGCGTATATTTTTTTCTATAGCATATTGTAGAGTATGTTGGAATGAAATTGATATATGTTTGAATTATAACTGAGTTATGAATTAAGTTGTTCTTGAACATAAAAAGAATGGAAACAAGTTCTAAGAGAGTGTTAAGATGGTACTCGTATATGAACTTATTCTTTATGTTTGAATATTTAAGTGCTCAAAATGATCTATCGGCTGCAATGCGCTTTCTAAAACAGGTAATCACAGATTGTGATACACTTTCAATTATTTCTGGATGTTATTTTGAGCGAAAAATGCTTAGACATAAAGGGTAATTTCATATATTCTAACATTCTTTTTTGGAATTTGTTTCCATTTTTTTCTTGCTCAACGTCATTTCATGGTCATACTTCATAACCCAGACATACTTCAATGCTTTTCAACATACTCTGCGATATGCTATAGAAAAAAATTATGCTTTTTTGCAAAAAAAAGTATCAGAGGCTTTTAAAAAGATTCGAAAAAATGATCATAAAAAGATTTTTCTTCTACGATATTCTTCCTTCGAAACTATTGAAATTGTGCTCCAAATATTCCTCGTATTATTAAAAATAAAAGAGACACTTAGGTATTCTCATTATGCTGGGACATGCTGTATATAAGAACGTCGGGCGATGACGAACATGCATCGTCTCGAAAAATCAAAATTTCAAAATTCGGAAACTAGAATAATTTTTCTGAAGTATACAATCGTTTCAAGGAAATAGTTATCCCGAAGACAATACATTGGATTTCAAAATGATTTGAAGACTTTCCTTGGGTACAGTTTAAAATGCAATCGATGTTTAATGAAATAATTTATTTGAAAATTTAATTGAAAAATTTCTAGAAACTAAGTTCCTTCACTGACTATTTGATAATATTTCGAACTATATTTGAAAAAAACTCTAACTATTTGAAACCCAGTGTATTCATAAGTGTATTTATATCCATTTGTGTATATTTTCGGTGTCAAATGAGAAGATATTAATGTATCCGGCACTTAAACGAATAGATATTAATGTACAAAAAAATTTCTATGTTTCGGTAAAATTGCATTTTGGGAAATTGTATCCGAGATTTGATAAATACCGAAATCCTCGATATTTAAGGATTTCGGTATCAAGACTCTTCGGGAAATTGTCTCAATTTAAATTCTAATATATACAGTTTTTTTTTTTCGGGACAATGTGTGTCTACTCGAGCGATTATTACTCATCGAGTTGGCACAAAGACAGTGATAAGTATGAAATAAAAACAACACAAACAAAGATTATAACATTTTTTCCTCCCCAGCATCTTTCAGTCTAAAGTCACATACGCTTACTCTTTCTCTCTCCTTTTTTAGGAATTGTTAACAGACAGCAGTGACGATCGTTCGGAATACTGGAATATCTCAACCAGAAGCGGACGTAAATGTCGAGGTAGAAGGGGTCGCGCCTGTCCTGGATTCCTGAAAGCTTGTAGCGCCTTTTTGGCATGTGCCTCTGTATTAGCAACCGCCAGTTTAATATGGCTGTTCATTGACGTTCGTCAGCAGCTTACCGCTCTGCGAACCGAATTAGACCAAGGTACAGGTCTAACGTTTCTCATGAACTGGCATTCATACATTTGTTAAGCTGCATAATAGTGATGAAAAAGAAATATCTAATAAAAAATGCGAATGAATAAATGCAACATGTTATCAACTTCGATGTATACGATGTATGTCCGTGAAAGAAAATATTCTACGCAGATACTTTTAATTAGAACCTTTCATCTCGAGTTATCGTTACGATATCTCATAACACGTTGCACTTTTATGCCTTCTGTAGTGTTAATAATTGTATGTGAGTTTCTTTTGTACATTGCAGTTATAGCGGGTAGTGAAAGTGTTCCGGACGCTCTGCAGAAATGTCATTCGTTATCGAGAGACCTTCAGAATAACCAGACTATTATTTTCACCAGATTATCGGATCTCAAGCAGCAGATAAACAATTTAACGATACAGGTAACACGTTACGAACAATGTTCATACTTCCAGTTACGTTATCAGGAAGAAATTCTCAAGAATACTTATTATCTTCCCATTATCATCCATGTTTTTGCAGCTGGCGCATGTTCAGCAAAGTTTGCACAAGGTACAGCAGTGTTTTCAGGCTGCGCCCGAGTTAGCTAACATACCTGCGCTCTCTAGTAGCGTTGCAACATTCGGTAGTCAAATAAGAGATCTGAAGGCTACAGTAAATTCCCTGAAAGAAACGAATCTGAGAATGCAGGATGCACAGACTACTATACAGCAAAATATCAGCAGTATTAAGGTAAAAATACTTCCAATCATCAAGTAAATGTAGTAAGTGCTCTTTGCGTTTAGCGATACGAGTCGATGCAAGCAATTATTTTCTTTCTTTGTTCCATATTTAATATATAACCAAGATAATGTTTGTACTAACTTGGATCATTAAATGAAAAGTGCTCGGTATAAAATAGTTATAGTTATTTAATTAAATGTTTCTCAATGTTACTTTTGTAGAACACTGTATTAGAATTGTCAAACATTACTCAGAAACCTCAAATAGTAAACAATGATGAAACACAAATTAAGACTGACAAACTGAATTCCACGATATTGCACTTAATGAACAATGTAACGCATATTAATGAAACCTTGACGAGCAAATTGCAATGGGTTGTCGATGATCAAAACAAAGATCGCGTAAGTAAATGATGTAACATAAATTTAATACGATAAATACACAATACATATGTTTAAAATATCATCTATTTGTATTTCTGCAGAAAAAATTAGTCTCACTTCAAGAAGCGATGGCGGCCATTAATACAACAGTGATGTCCTTGCAAGGAGAATGCGTTAAAATATCTGAACAGGCTTCTATTCTAGCGTCGGTTCAAAAATTAACCGAAGAGGTTCGTTATTAAACACAGCATTACTGATTGACGTTTCATGAGTCGCTATTGATCTTAATCGTTATTAATATAGGTGGACGGGATACGCGCAACGGATGTAGAAGTAATTGGCAAACTTAAGCAATTAGAACAAACATATAACGGATTAAAAAATTCTACTAGCATAATGTTTGCGACTATGAATGACATTCATAATCAGCAACAGATTAGCAAAATGAAAATATCAGATTCGTTAAGTGGAGACATAACCACAGAACCAGATCGCGGTGCAACAGGTGCGCTAAAGCTATATGTAAGAAATCATGCTTAAAAGATTATACATTTGTATCTAGTAAAATGAATTTTACATTGTCTTTTTATCGTCTTGTACAGATGTAAATGACATTGCTCAGAAAAGGGTTCCAAGCGACGAGACCTCGAGGCGTTTTAGCGTAGATCTTGGTTAACGTGAGTTTGAAAATGAATGAACGAGTGCTGAAGAAAGAAAACTTATGTGAATGAAAGCCATTTTGTACGTTACCTAACGAAGCTGTGTATTTGTAAATAATGATGAACTATAACTTAATAACAATAAAATAATAAGTACGTTATAATTCTATGTGCATAGAGAAAGAGACTATTTATGATCCGAATCGTATGTATTCTCATAATAAAATATTCATTAGAGTTCACAATTAAGGTTCCTGGCTCCTCGCTGTGAAATTTTTATTTGATGATGCTAGTAACGAAGAAACCCATGCTCAAAATTCTTGCATTTCTAAAAAAATACATGTATGAAAGGATATTTCAGGTCGTTAGAGCATATTTATAAAATACTCTGGATTTATAAAATACTCTGGATATTATGCTGTATTTTTCCTTTGAAAGTCAATAAACAGTCGTGAAATGATTAATACAAGGTTGATCATACAAAATGATTGCGTATAACTAGGCCTTGTATTAGAGTCATATTATAGAAGTTAATTGACTATCAAGGGAGAAATATAGTATTCGGAGCACTTTATGAGTATGCTCTAACGATCTGAAATATTCGTTCATATAAATATCTTTTTATTTGGAAATGGCAAAAATTTGAAGCATGGGTCGTCATTATCCAATATAGCTACAGCGAGCACCCAGAAGCCTTAATATCTACGTTAGTGTGGAATCATGAATGTCATGGCCTGAAAGATGCTATTTACGCCGAGCAATAATTTATAATGTGTATGAATATTCGTTCATATAGGATATATAAGTATCGGACATTTATCCGATAGATTCAAGAGATAATTAGACTTTTAAATTCCAAACGACATTGGGTAGGGCATAGCAAGAAAAGTATTTACTATGGAAAGAAAATACTATGGAAAGTACAAACTTTGCAGCACCTCTACCGTCTACAAGCATTTTTTTAATTATAATGTAGTATCTATAGAAATATTTATATTCCAAGTAATAGCAGTACGTAACTACCAAAATTTTTTACTCTTCTACATCTTACAGGATATAATAATACACATTATGGTATGTCCTTCTGAACTTTCTGGCTTGAAAATGTAGAGTTTTAATTTGCAGAGAAAGTCATACATATAAATGATATAAAAATTTTAATACATACAAAGAAATATAATAATATTAATTAACAATACACATGCCAAACAATGTGATAAAGCAGCGAGGACCTAAGTGCTGACTAAGTAATATAGTAATTTTACCTTTTACACTGGAGAAAAAAGATGATATATAATTATATAAAATTATATATATGATTATATATAAATTACATCTAAATTTTGTATATATATGGTTACATCTATGTGTCCACATGTAGAAAAAGAATGATGTTTAAAAAAATTAAAAAAGAAAGAAATAGTTTTATTTCCAACTGAACATTGTCATCATCTGATGCCAAAAGTATAAGCATTTACTTTAATTGTATTTGTAAAATAGCATTTTTGTTGTGGACATGATTATGGATGATTATATATAACCATATATGCACAAAATTCATATATGATCTTTTTTCCCGGGTAACTACGCGTTGTAGAAATTAGATTTTATTTCGAAGATCGGAAAGATAGATTATTATTATTAGTAATATGTAGATAAACATTTGAAAAAAAAATACTATTACACGAAACAAAAGAACGACGGACTTCTTTGTAGTAATCAATAAAACAAGTTGTATATGTGTATGCACACACATTCATACACATATTTTTAAAGAGTTAAGCTTAAGGTTTTGGTAGCAAAGGACTAAAAAATATTTGCTTTATATCGACCGGTATTTTTTTTTGCCCAAACTAATTTATAATTATACTATTTCATGCAAGTTTACAAATTTCAATGCAAATCAAAGTTCATTCCCCCTTAACCTTAAACTAAACCTAACCTAATCTAATTTTTTTGACGTAGAAAAATCCTCATGGACACCCCAACTCCTTGTGGGAAGAGGATCGAGATAATGTTCGACTCTTACCGGCTATAACTTCACGATGGCCATCCTCATTGCTTATAGGGAAGGAATGCGAGACTGAATTAAAACATATTATTATATCTTTTCCTATCACGATGTAACAGGGATATTAGCCTTTACTCATGCTCGGCTGCGGTGTCTTGAAGTTATTTAGGGGGAGAAAATCGTAGGGACTTCTGCACCCCATATCATATCTGGCGGGTGTTAGAAAGCCGCGACGGTTTGCCTTTCGCCGCTTTCGGAAAAACTTTCCCTCCCTTGAGCCGATTGTCCGTCCTCGCCGTCTGATTAGGCGAAAGATTTAGGAGCTAATTAGCATCTCGAATTCTTTTTTCTGTTTGGCGAATCACAGGCAGGTTCGCCGTCCTACAGAACAACGTCACTATCCTGTAGTTCATTCTTCACTCTCTCTTGTTGCAGAGAGAGTATCAGGGTTGGGATTTACAGTCCCTCATTCGATGCATGCCAATTAGGTATACTCGTATTTCAGACAGCGGAAGCACTGGAGCTTCTGCACCTTCAGAAATACAGTATGGACGGAGGATCATCCAACCTTCGAGCGCCCGTGGCCGCTGATCTTAATAACTGTAGCTACAAAACATTTTATCTATAGAAAACCAACTCCTTCAGCTTCCTGTTTTTTAAGGATGCTCATAGTAATCATTTCTGGTGAGCACTCTCTGGTCTTGGTTATCGCCGTGGCGACTTCCGCCGGAGTGACCGAGTTCTTAATCCGTAACTGCTGTTCTGCGGTCAATTTGACCATTGCACTATTTGAAATTTAAATAATGCGGTTAATTTTCTAGTTGCGTATTCATCCGTCAGTATATTTTCTTACATTCTGAATGTCAGTCGACTGATATACGCGCAGTTGTGTGGTCGTGTTATTTGTCAAGATATTCATCAATTCCGTTTCCTACCGGTCAATTTGACCGGTGTGCGCGTACTTAAAATGGCTTCACAGCAGTTACGGGTTAAGTCCGATCACTCGCAGCTTCCCTTACTTATTATAGATTAATTTGTCCAAACTATTTTATTTCATCCCACTGTGTATCGGGCTAAAATATGAAATATTTACTATGGTCATAACTAATCCTAGGCCGGTATTCATAGTCGGATTTTATATTTAAGACCATTTTAAGTTCATCTTCAGATGCTGTATAAATTATTTCATTGGCTACGGGATATCTGAAAATGAACTTAAGATGGTCTTAAATATAAGACCCGACTATGAATACCGGCCTTAAACCGTTTTGTAATAAATAATGAAATTCTGTAATAAATAATTCCAAAAGATGCAATATAGGCCCTTTCAGGCCTTAAATGAACCCCGAGGCTCAAAATGAGATTTGTTATGTCAGATAGATCATATGTTGAATCAGTGAATTCCCGTAATCACGAAGGAAAGTTATGACGTTAAGAAACTCAATGTAGATCACATCAGGTTCTGAATGAGCTCCGGATCCAAAATGCTAAAAATGAATTCTAAGCCCAGAATAGGCCAAATGTGTCAAAAATAGACTTTGAACCCAAAATGTGATTGACTATAATGACAGAAATTTCATGAATAACCTTATCGATCTACTGATTCCATTTTTTAAAGTGAGACATTTAAAAGTTCCTTCAAAAGACATTCAAAAGAAATTTTAAACTTGATAAAAGGGGTAGCAAAAAAATGCAAAAGATAAAATTTTCTTATTTTTTCATGTAAGTTATGTCTGCAGTAAAAAAAAAATAAAGGTTCCTGTAAACAACAAATTTGACGTGGGCTTCATAGGCAACATAAACTCGTTGCATCTAGGAGCTTGTTACGTGGAGCCTCTATATCCGTTTCTTTTTAAATTACGCTTAAAACTAGGCAGGAAACACGGAACAAAAGAGAAAATCTTCGCGACCTGCCGTTATTTTGTCTCGAGTTCATTGTCGCGATCGTTGTCTTACTATGATGAGACAAAAGCAGACAGAAGTTGATTTTTCATTTTTGTCTAACTAACGTGACTCGTTCATGGATAAAACGTAGAACAGAACTATAAAATTGTAGATATTACCTGTTACCCTAAGAAGAGTAACGATATTTAGCTACGTAATTTATATCCTTAAAATGGACTTAGGCGGTATTCATAGTCAGATCTTATATTTAAGATCGTCTTAAGTTCATCTTCAAATGCTGTATAAATTATTAGGTCAATCGGAAAGTTCCATCCGTTTTCTTGCAAAACGTATGGCTTTATTTAAGAAACAAAATGAAAAAGTACATCAATCAAAGTATTGTCCATCGTTAGCGATGGCTTTTTCCCATCTTTCGGTTAGCAAGCGAATTCCGCGGCGAAAGAATGACTCATCTTTGGAGGCTATCCAGTCAGAGACCCATTTTTCGACGTTTTCATAAGAATTGAAGCATTCCTCAGTAAGTGCGTGTGCCATCGACCGAAACAAGTGGTAGTCGGAAGGGGCACAGTCTGATGAATAAGCTGCATGGGATAACATTTCCCAGCGAAGTGCTTCTAACGTTTCCTTGACAGATTTTGTGACGTGAGGCCGAGCGTTGTCATGAAGCAAAATCACTTTATGCTGTCTCGTTTCATATTCTATTCGTTTTTCGTGCAATGCTCGACTCAAATGAATCATTTGTTCTCTGTAGAGATCCCCTGTGACTGTTTGACCACTTTTCAACAGCTCATAGTACAGCACCCCACATAGCACCGCAATATTGCAGGAATATTACAGAAACGTTGCAAGAATATTACTAAAATATTGCATAAATATGACAATAATATTGCAGAAATATTTAATGTCCTAGGCATAAGTCTCGCAGAAATATTGCGGGAATATTGTTATGATGTTGTAGGAATATTGTCACAGGACTATTGCCACAATGTTGTTGAAATATCGCCACAATCTTGCAAGAATACCTATGAAATATAGCCACAATACTGCAGAAAAATTGCAAAATATTGCCGAAATATTACTGCAATCGTGCAGGAATGTTGCTACAATATTTCTTAAATGTTGCTGCAATATTGCAGGAATATTACTGAAATATTGCATAAATATCACAGCAATATTGCAAAAATATTTAATGTCCTAGGCATAAATCTCGCAAAAATATCTCAAGCGTGGTCTACAATGGCAGTAAGCAATAAGAAATAAGCGTAAGCAGTAAGAAATAAACCAATCATAGTCGATTGTGACAAAAATAATCAACTGTGGTTGGTCCATTTCTTACTGTTCACGCTTTCTTCTTATTGCTTACGGCCATTGTAGACCACGCTTTAGAAACACTGCGTTAAATAAAAAAATGTTTGAGACAAAAGTTGTTTGGCTTGAAGGAGGACAAGAAAGCGATAGCATTTTGTTTATAAATGGCACCACTTTTGAGATATTCACTGACAATCAATTTTCATAAATGGAAATCCGAATTTTTTATTATATTTTCTTTTTCTATCAATTAATTTGAACAATTTTTATCTGAAACATTTTTTTATTTGGTTAATATTTTTTGAGATATTTAAGGAAAATTTGGTAACTTTTTCAACATTTAACTTACGATATCTCGCTAACTATTCGTCGAAAGAAAAAATAGTATTAGACTTTTTTACTTTATTTAATATCAAGAATATATTAATGGTGTCCTAACTTTTATTAATTTAATAATTTTGAAATTTCCAAAGGTCGATAAGTTAAAGAATCTCTCCCTTTCCCCTACCCACGCCACAAGGGCGCCATCTGCATCCATTTTGAAAGGGGAATTACGATACCACATCTATTTTTAGGTTTCGGTGGTAAAACCTGCACGTGGTGGCAGTCAGTGCTACATCCATTTTCAGGCGGTTTATGTCCATGCTACAACCATAATAGCGTACTTGATAAGCACGGTCTCGCACATTGTTACGCGTTTATAACATGAATTAACATGTTAACATGTGCAAAAAAAGAAGAATTGACATTGTGTATGATTAATATCATGAAGATCATACAAAGTGTCCGGTAATTAGCTGCCAACCCGAAGTGTGAGGGTAGATTAGGTTGAGACAAATATAAAAGTCCTATATTGTTTTGCGAGATTCGCAATAATTTTCGAGCTATTAATGACAGAAATCTGAGGAGTAGGAGCGCGCCGACATAGATGATTGGAGAAGCGTTGCAGCTGCTCAGGGCAGCGATCATGAATCTTTTCCCTAGCATGAACTAGTGAAAAGTGAAAGACTTCTGTGAATCAGTGAAAAATGAAAAATTTTATATGAATTTGTGGAAATCGAAACATTTCACACGA